CCCAGGGTGCTGTTGGTGCTCCCGGTCCCAAAGGTGCTCGCGGAAGCGCTGGACCCCCTGTAAGTACGGCTCTTGTGGGGAAGGGGGGCTTGGGGGAGGTTTGGGACACCCAAATTTTTGTGTTTTAAACCCCCTGAGGTGCTTTAACTCTGGCTCTGCTCCCCCAAACATCACGGGGCACAACCAGCCCTGCGCCCCAAAACCGTTTGGGGATGGTGCCAGTCTGGGGTAGAACAGCAGGGAAATGGGGGGATTGCCTTTGTGCGCCCCCAAATCAGCCCTAAATGAGCCCCAAATCAGTCCCAAATCAACCCCAAATCAGATGGGCACGGATGGTGCCAGTCTGGGGGTAGAACTGGGAGACTGCCTTTGAGCCCCCCCAAATCAGCCCCAAATGAGCCCCAAATCAGATGGGCAYAGATRGASCCAGTCTGGGGTARAACAGTGGGGAAATGGGGGGATTGCCTTTGTGCCCCCCCCAATCAACCCTAAATCAGCCCCAAATGAGCCCCAAATCAGATGGGCATAGATGGAGTCAGTCTAGGGGTAGAGCAGGGGGAAATGGGGGGCCTGCCTTTGTGATCCCCCCCCAAATCAGCCCCAAATGAGTCCTAAATCAGATGGGCACAGATGAACCCAGTCTGGGGTAGAGCAGGGGGGAAATTGCCTTTGTGCCCCCAAAATCAGCCCTAAATGAGCCCTAAATGAAACCCAAATCAGATGGGCACGGATGGAGCCAGTCTGGGGGTAGAGCAGCAGGGAAACGGGGGGATTACCTTTGTGGCCCCCAAATCGGCCCCAAATCAGATGGGCACAGTTGGTGCCAGTCTTGGGCTAGAACAGCAGTCTTGGGGAGATTACCTTTGTGCCACCCAAATGAGCTCCAAATCAACCCCAAGTCAACCCCAAATCAGATGGGCACGGATGGAGCCAGTCTTGGGATAGAGCAGTGGGGAAATGGGGGGATTGCCWTTGTGCCYCCCAAATCAGCCCCAAATGAACCCCAAATCAGATGGGCACTTCCTCCCGGCCACCGGGGTACCCCGTGGTGACTGCCAGCGGGGGGATTGTCCCCACTGACCGCGCCTTTCCCCCCCTTGCAGGGTGCTACTGGTTTCCCTGGTGCTGCTGGAAGAGTTGGACCCCCCGGCCCCTCTGTGAGTACCCGCGGGGGACATGTGGCACTGGGGACATGGGGACATGTGGCACTGGGGACACGGGGACATGTGGCACTCGGGACACGGGGAAGGGGGTGCTGGGGACACAGGGAGAGGGGTGATGGGGACACAGGACAGGAGGCACTGGAGACACAGGGCAGGGGACACTGGGGACACGGAGAGGGAAGTGTTGGGGACACGCGGCCATGTGGCACTGTGGACACAGGGCAGGGGACACGGGACACAGGACAGGAGGCACTGGGCACACGGGGCGATGTGGCACTGGGGACATGGAGCGGGAGGCACCGGGGACACGGAGCGGGAGGCGCTAGGGACACTGGGAGATGTGGCACTGGGAACACGGAGCGGGAGAAGTTGGGGACACGGAGGGATGTGGCATTGGGGACACGGAGCGGCAGGTGCTGGACGCCACCCGGGTGCTGCACGTGGCCGCCCTGTCCCACTTGGCACCGGGACACCCCTGGCCACCCTTCAGCTGGCAGCAGGGGTGTCCCCTGGCAGTGGAGGTGTCCCCTGGCAGCAGAGGTGTCCCCTGGCAGCAGAGGTGTCCCCTGGCCTGATTCCACCTCCTCCGTCCCTCTCAGGGTAACATCGGCCTCCCCGGCCCTCCCGGCCCCAGCGGCAAAGAAGGTGGCAAAGGCCCCCGCGGTGAGACCGGCCCCGCTGGCCGCCCCGGAGAGCCTGGCCCCGCCGGTCCCCCCGGTCCCCCCGGCGAGAAAGGATCCCCCGGAGCTGACGGTCCCATCGTGAGTGACCGCCGCGCTCAGATCGCTCCGCTGGTCACCCCTTGTCGCTGTCCCCTCCGCGGTGAGGGTGACACTCGCCACCGCCACCACCCTGAGGTGCTGTTTGTCCCCGCAGGGCGCTCCCGGTACTCCCGGACCCCAAGGTATCGCCGGTCAGCGCGGTGTGGTCGGTCTCCCCGGACAGAGAGGCGAGAGAGGATTCCCCGGGCTGCCCGGTCCCTCTGTGAGTAGCGGGGGGCTCCCGGGGAACGGTGACACTGTCCCCACGCCGGGGTGAGTGTCCGGCGGTGTCTGACCCTTCCTTGTGTCCCCTCGCAGGGTGAACCCGGCAAACAAGGTCCCTCCGGCTCCCCCGGCGAGCGCGGTCCCCCCGGTCCCATGGGTCCCCCCGGTCTGGCCGGACCCCCCGGAGAAGCCGGACGTGAGGTGAGTGGTCCTGGGCTACCATCGGGGCTGGGGGGGCACGGACCGCCCCCCCGGGCTGAGGATTTGCCAGCTCACAGCACCCATGGGTGATGAGACCCCCTGAGACCCCCGCCCCCGTTATCCCCCCACCCTGACGAGGGTCTCTGCTCCCGTAGGGCGCTCCCGGTGCTGAAGGTGCCCCCGGCCGTGACGGTGCTGCTGGTCCCAAGGTGAGTGGGTGGGCTCTGAGGGGGG